ATATATATATATATATATATATATATATATATATATATATATATATATTTCTATATATATATATTTGTAAGAAAAATTTTTAGAAGAAAATCGAAGTTTTTACTGATGAACTTTGTTACGTACATATATTGAACGTATGTTGTATTATGCACGACCAAATATTTTTTGTGTTGCTTGTGTGAGTTTTGAACATGAATTTTGATCATATAAATTTATTTCTAAAATAATTACACACACACACATATATATATATATATATATATATATATATATGTATGTATGTATGTATGTATGTGTGTGTGTGTTTAAAGAGAAAAACAGCTTCGTGATAACGTAAAAATAAACGTTACAGATTTATAGGGATAAAACTGAAATACAAGAAAAAAAAAGTATATGCACATGGAATGTAATTTTCTATGGTAAAAATAACGTAAAAGCTTCTTCATTAAGGTAACTCTGCTTTTGATGATCATTATAATCTGTAGGAAATGATCAAAGTTTAATATTAATATGTTTTATGTACAAATTATTCTCAAATATTGGACAAATAATTTTGAAGATCTCTTTATTGATAGGAGCAAATAGATAGTTTTTTAAAAAGTGAATATGCGATGGCCGAACAGAATATTATACGTTGATCTTATCAAAGAAAAAAACGTAGGTCACAAGTTAAATCGTTATGATAATTTGTTGAGAGAGAGAGAGAGAGAGAGAGAGAGAGAGAGAGAGAGAGAGAGAGAGAGGTGTGTCTGCATAATTAGTAAATTAAATCTTATAAGGATGGATGAGGATTGGTTATACATCATTCTAAGGCATTTCATTATTCACACGGTCATTTCAACGATCTTACGTAGGTGTCGTTAAGTTTCAATTCGAGATACTTCGGATATCCTGTGTGCGCTGATTCCTACAGCCAATAAATCACGTATTATTACTTTTCTTGTAATTCAGTGTTTTAATTCCTTGGCACGAGCAAACGGAAATACATAAGCACAATCGTTATGAATCGTTGCGGGAAAGCGCGCAAAAGATGTATTCGTAAATGTATATACGAAATTGTAATCCACATGTCGCAAATAACACATACAATGAAGTATCACAAGATGCTGTGCTTGAACGAAATGCTACTTGATTTTGATATGCTCATAATCTCTAACTGACTAACGTCGCTGTCATTATGAATTGTTGCGAAGCGATGTAAAGACCTTTTATTGATTGTTGTTTCGTCTTGTTAACCACTATGCAAATTTATGGCCGAAATGACGACGGTCTGTTCGCTTCAACAAGCTGAATGACGTAATGCTGTTTGTATGTTTAAATATACATTACTGCATTTGTTAAGCGACTATAAATGGTATAACGAGAGAAAAGATTAAGCAGCTACACACACCACACACACACACACACACACACACACACACGACGATCAGTTTTATGAATAAGATAGCGTTCCGTAGTACGCAATGGCTACAACGAAAAGCAGGAGATTCCGATCGAATCTGCGTGCGGATGCACGTTCCACGTTGTCGAAGATTGAACCTAGTTAACGCATCGGACAATTCTTTGAAGAATCACGAACTGAAAAATGCCTTAGAAGTATCGCTGCATTCGTACATGAGACATAACTTCAATAATCATATTAATGCTGAACATGATGGAACTTAGACACGCGAGATTTATCTCGATGTGATAATAAAAGCCGTTGTATCGTTAGCTGAAGGATCGGAGCTCTATTTTTGTTAACGATCACGTGTAGCCCGGATGTAAGATTTTTTATATCAAGCACAGAAATCGAGACTATATATCTGCGTGACGCAAGAGACAACTTCGTTTCTTCGGGCGCATACATATGCATGTCGAAGAATATGACGACCAACGATCTCGTATGTGAAAAAGAACGGACAGGAGTAAAGAAAAGATATCGCGACATCGACGGTACGAGTGACATGTCATCGATGTAAACTAAAAAAATAACACCAGTGGAAAATACAATATAAATTACTGTACAAATTAAATGTTCGTTTTATGGTTCCCCTGATACTTTATAATTCTGCCGAGTTATATTAAAAAAAGTGTTTCAAACAAGAATTATTTTGTATTAAGAATAATACATGCAAGATCATGATATCTGATATCAGACTATTCTGTTAAAGTCACGTTATTTTATCCTTTTCAGCATACAATACAAAGATATCTCTTATAACATTTTTTGTTCGACGACCTTACTTTAATCCTTACATTGTGCGTCACTTTCGCACGTTATGAAGTTCATTACAAATGATTTAAAAACATTTAAGTCACTTTTTATTCATTAAATGATATTTATATTTATGACAATACACAAATACAGGACGTATATAATTTAAAATAACATTTTAATATTTTATAGGTGCAGTTTTGAAAAGACCAAATCTCCAATTGGATTGAATTTTTCAGGAAAGCTCCCCTCGCATTGTCTATCTCTTTTTAATGACGTCAGAAGCGAGAAAATGCATACTAAAAATTCTTGCAAAATATATTGAAATAGAAATATATATCCATAAAGTAACATTTATAATCGATTAAACAAATTTGTAAGATATTCCATGCACTCCCGTTTTGCTCTAACAATCAATTTATTGTAAATTAATCTGAATAGAAATAAGCAAAGAAATAGGTTAAGAAGATGAATTGTATGTCACGTTAAATTACGACAAATGTTTAAATTTTGATCGAGGGTACGGGGCGAATGGGGCTTTGTCGCCAAAAATCCTTTAAAGCTCCTGCCTTCTCGCATTGTCTATCTCAAATGTTTAATCGATTGTAAGTGTTCCTTTATGGATATATATTTTTATTTTAACGTATTTCGCAAGAATTTTTAGCATGCATTTTCTCGCTTCTGACATCATTAAAAAGAGATAGACAATGCGAGGGGCTAGTAGTGCGATTATGTAACTCGTTAAGTGTAGTTAACGACAGTTTCGTTATCGTTGCGTAGTTTTTCTACGGTATAGAAAAGCTGCACAATGATACGACGACTTATCGTTAACTGCATTTAACGAGTTACATAATCGCACTGCAGGGCCATTATTCTTGAAATTGTTGCGTATATGTAAGTTTTACTGCGCAGCTATTTTGTGGTATGATTAAACCTGTGCAGTAAAACTTACGTATACGCAACTATTTCAAGAATAAAGGCCCAGAAGCTTTAAAGGATTTTTGGCGACAAAGCCTCACTCGTCCTGTACCCTCGCTCAAAGTTTAAACTGTTTTTTCACTGTATTTTCGGACATATTGATTTTGGAGAAAAATGTTTCAGACAAAAAATGAAGCTTGTAAAACGCACTATAAAAAAGTCATATGCATTATTAACATAAATGCAATACTTTTGTCGTTATATTGAAAAATAGGTATTTAATACATTAGTAAAAAGGTTGCTCTTTTCAAGCTTTACATTTTATGACCGCATTGATTTTTTCTTTAAAATAATTAATACAATATGTCCAATAAAATATTATATACTATTTAATGCGTTAGGTTAGGGTTAGTTTTTTGGAAAGAGGCGGATCCCCTTCCCCGCATACCCACTAAACATGAAACTTTCAGGCGATGTTACATTCGAGAAGAATATATCTGATATAAAACGTTTCATAATGAATGTTAATGCAATGTTGCATAAAAGTTTTGGTAAAACGTTTTATTTTTAACATCAACGGAACGTCATGAGACCATTAAATTTCGATATTTAAAAAGATTGTAATGTTTTAAATGAAACGTTACGCGAGCAACATCTCGTTTGTAACGTTTCATATTAAACGTTTTGCAACGTTTGGAGCACATTTCATTTGTAACGTGTCACCAGTAATATTTAAAAATGTTAGCTGAACGTTATATACGAAACGTTTAGAAGACATTAATTATATAACGTTATATGTACTTGTCATGTAAAACTTTCATTTTGGAGCATTGAAAAACGTTTTAATAACATTATATATCTGATGTTACTAAAACGGTCATTGCATAACGTCGTACAAGTGTTGCATATATAACATTTCACGCAAATTGAAAAGTGCCCAACCCAAACAGCACACAATATTTATGATAAAGATATTTATATCGAATTATTTTTTAAAACTATTATATAAATATTAGGTGAAGTAAAAAGTTCTGAGCGTTTTTTCGCTTTATTTCGACGATGAAATTAACATAGT